CAAAACGTTGTACATTTGCTGTTATGTTAAACTTATATTAAAGTTTTTCTTCATTACCCATTCAAGCCGTCTCCAGCCATTAGTGGTTTAATCTGTCCAGATATCTGGCCAACTGTAGTGGTGGTCTGAAAATGAGTCCACATCATGCTAACCATACTTTGTAACATTTATAGCCATTCTACAGTGAGTTTGACCACCTTCTAACCGATCCATTGTTTTTAGCATCATGGAAATGTTTAAATGTTCTTGTTGGATTCTTGCATTGTACACTATCAGTCTGGATCTCTTTACTACTGTTGTTCAAACAGCTAAATGATAACACACCGTGTTTCCTTCACTTTTATATATCACTAAAATTTGCACTTCAATTCAAACTACTGGCCACCCAATACTTGTTTTGCATTATGTATTAACAGTAAATATGCCTTGTCATACCTAGAATATAGAAAATGTTGATTATCCCTTATTTGTTTTTAACAATGTAATGTGTTTTAACTAACATTGTTTTAATGTACAAGAACTTCCAGCTAACTTTATGAAAACTCTTTCATGACTTTGTTATAATCAGTTAAGAAATGATTGGAATTATTTTTGCGTAGTAGAATATAAAGTAATAGTGAAAAACTTGCCAAATTAAAATAATTTTATTGATAAAATACAAAAACAACATTTCGGGCAACAGCCCTTCATCAGGTTTCCAGTGAGAATGAAAGTGTTAATAGAAGGGTTAGGTTGAAAGAACATGTAGCTTAAGAACAATGTGTTACTTGTTCTTTCAACCTAACCCTTCTATTAACAGTTTCATTCTCACTGGAAACCTGATGAAGGGTTGTTGCCTGAAACATTTCATGTTTTATCACTAAAATTATTTTAATTTCACGAGTTTTTCACAATATCTTTATTTTCTATTTTGTTATTTCCTCGCCTGTGCAATTATTTTATTACTAGAATTATTCTTGTTTGGGCATCATTTCTTTTTTTATAATTAGAGCATTTAATTTGTAAGCTAGTTCTCAATATCATTATCCTCTGCCTACCTTGATTCATGAATTGCATACTATAATAATGACTGAATGGGGGACATCTTCCAGCACTTTGTGGAATCTGTACCATGTTGTATCATAGCTGTTATTTGGACAAAAGATGGCCCAACCTGTTATTAGATATAGTTTCTAATAAAGTGGCTAGCTAATTTATATTATCCATTTAAACAATATTTAAACTATTTGCTTAAAATCAGCAAAAAATATTTTTATTTGTTTTTTTTAATTGTAAAGGAATCAAATAACATATCTGAATTTTATTTTATTTCAACAAGCCTACATGGGTACTTTTAAACTACATTCACAATATGATGCAGTGAAAGTACATCTTGTATTAGTGGATGAAAAGTTGAAATGGAAATTACTATTTTATGTTTAAAGGTTTGTGTAAAAATGAGTTGAAAATATGTAAATTTTGCTAATTTTAAATATTTTCTTCTTGTAAATAAGAATTATCTATAAGATATAAAAATACATTTTAAAGCTGTATTTTGGGTCTGAAAAACTAAATGCAAATTAGTTTGTATCATAATTCACGATTTTAATAATTGTCATTACTTTATGTTTCTTGATAAATAAATCTGATATTTGGTTGGTAAAAATTTACTATATAATGTGTGTCTGCTCTATTTCTAAATATAAATGTAGTGCAGTCATTTTTACATTGTTTTTTGCTCTAAGTACATGGTGTTAGTAAATAATTGAGTAGAATGAGAAGTACATAAAATAAATAATTATGGTTCACAATATAATGGAAGCTAACACCTAAGGTTTTTCCATGGCCAGAAGTGCTGTTAGTGCACCTCACCATGAGCACTGATTATTGCCAAGACATTCCTTGAGCCATAAACAATCTCCACCCATGTTCATGCCAACATCTCCCATATAATTGATGCAATTGCATTGGTTGTTCTGGCATGTAGGATTACCATATCTGGTATATTTGTCATATAGACAATGTCCTTCATATATTTGTATCTAAACTAGTTGAAAGAAACTTCAGACCTTAGTTTCCCTCATGCTGCAAACTGCAACTGTTTATGGTGTGGTTCATATTCTATTCAATCAAGAAAGTGGTTCAATAATTTATGGACATCCCATTCATCGTGAATGATGGATGAAACTGACATATGTTATGCTATACAGTTCAAGAAAAATGGTGCTGTTTAGTGTTAAAACTTTTCACCAAAACTGTATATGTTCAAAAGTCCAGTTTTGATTCAAAAATAGTTGGTTTTGAAACTACAAGAATTAGATCATGTGAACTACAAGGTGTTAGTAATATACCTTTTTTTAATTGGAAGACACTTACATGGTTTTGACAGAATTCTGGAAACACTTCTTTGTAAGAAAAAAAATCATGAAAAGTTTAACTTGCATGGTTTTGACATGACAGCAATCGTTTGGTCAACTAGTATCATTAACAGTCTGTTAAAATCAGCAAGTACAATTGGAGTATGAATGATGATTTTTAAAATTCTAAATTCACATATAGGGTGATTGCTATACGTTGTGGGCCACAAACTGACATACAGGTCAGTGTGTCATCATCACCTCAAGAACAAGATTTTTACCCTAGTACCCTGGTTAGAGACCGAAAGTGGCAAAACCTAAGTGGCAGTTTTCGAGAAGTTGCCCTGGAAAAGATGGAAGGAAAGAACTTCTTGAATAAAATGGAAAATCTCATGGCATGCTTAACTACATGCTAATAACTTTTCTTGTTTACATTTACTTTGGAAGTAACATGAGAAAAAATGTTAGCATATCTCAGTGTTTAGCACACTTTGTACAAATATTGTATATTAATGCATAAGGCAGTGATAAAGAATTTGTATTATGGTCTTATGTTATGATATTAAAATTTTTTTAAGAATTGAATTTAAGCAAGCTTTTTGTGTTTCAAATAACCACAATATTTACTACTATATGACTGCTTCATCTAGTTTTTTTAAATATATTTTTAACAAGTTGTAGTTTTTAAAAGCAGGAAAATACACTACGTACTCATAACACCTATGAAAGAATTTGGCTTCTTAAAATACATTTTTACCCTAGAACATATATGTCAGAAAATTCAAAATACAGTGTACATAAATGAATCCTAAGTATTATAAAATTTTAACTAGATTATATATTTTTATTCATTTATTAATAGTAAAAATTGATAAACATTTGAGTCCACTGTTATAGGGATCCAGTTTTTCTGTTTGAGATTTGATCCATCTATGAATGTGTATGTGCCAAAATACAGCAAGAGTTAACTTAAATAAAAAGCCTAATAAGGGAGTTAAATGCAAGATGAGAATGAAAATGCTTATGACTGGGATGGTTTATGAAAGTTGAGACCAGTTACCTACAGTTATTTGTGACAAGAAAAGTGTGGTATAGGCAGTTTATTTTTGAAATGATAAACAACAGACATCCAAGAAAATATACTTCTAATAATTTGTTAGTCACATTACCATACATTAATGTCTTATTTATTACAGAATTGTACAAAATTATTTATAATGTATGGTTAAATTACATTTCTGTATATTTGTTTTGATTATATTGACAAAATGTTTGATACATGAAAAGATATTTTACCTATAAATTGTTTGCTATAGTTATGTCTACTTCATTTACTTTTTTAAAATGAGCTGTTATTGCTGCAAGTATTAAACACAAAAGATGCTCCGCAGAATTTTTAAAATTCTCCACAGATACCAATTTAAAATTTCCTTAGATTTGGACTTCCTCTAGCCATAAGATACTGTAACACACATTAAAGCACATGAGCACAGAAGTATGTTCAACTAAGCTGAATACCTGTGTGTATTTTTCATTATGCTTGTATATCACAGAAGAGAGGATGGAGGAAGAATGGTGGACTCTAGTACCTGCCATTTAATAAGTGAAAATAATATTTAATGGGGAAGGAAATTTTGTTAACTTATTTCAGACGTCATGTATCGATGTCTTAGTATCCAATTAACATTTTTAATAGCTAATGTGTCAGTCCTAAAGTTCCACTTGAAACCAACAAAATAAATGATATTTAAAATAGGTTTTATGTGAAGACCAAAACAGTCTTATATTCTGTAAGAAAATAGCCATGCAAGTTCACATTTTAATACCTGCACATTAGTTATCAGCTTTCACTTTTTCATTTTGTTAACGGCCCAGCATGGCCAGGTGGTTAGGGTGCTCGACTTGCAATCTGCAGGTCACGGGTTCGAATCCCCGTCCCACCAAACATGCTCGTTCCTTTCAGCCATGGGGGCATTATTATGTGACAGTCAATCCCACTAATCGTTGGTAAAAGAGTAGCCCAAGACTTTGCAGTGGGTGGTGATGACTAGCTGCCTTCCCTCTAGTCTTACACTGCTAAATTGGGGATGGATAGCACAGATAACCCACATAACTTTGTGCAAAATTCAAAACAAAGAAACAAATATTTTTGTTAAATTCTGAGAGATTTATTTAATCATTTTTTTGCCATGATCTGATAATCTAAAAAAATAGTTACATAAGCATTAAATTCACACAAGGTGGTTGTTATGCAATATTTATACATACTTAAAAAAAAAACATGTTATACTTTACTCCTCTCACTGCCAGCTTTATTACAGCCTGATCTAGTTGTGGTCAATAAATCTGTCATTATGTGACTGAGAAAAGCGATTTATCAGGGTGAAGCAACCCTGCTTAAATAGAAATATGTGAGAAAGCTCTAAGTTATACAGCTTATCTTCCAACTGCAATTTCTGCTTCACTTGTAATTTCACAGATCTCAGCTGTCACTTACAATGTAATTAGAGAAGTTAATTGGATACCAGCGTGGTTGTGTATTGGGCAAATTTTTCTTACACCATTTAAAAGCACGTTGTTACAAATCATTACGATACATTCTTGCATCCCATTACAGTAACAACTTAAAAAATAGTAATGAATCGTGAATCAAACTTTGGGTGCATTATAAAGGTGACAGTCAAATCTTACTGTTAGCCAGAAAAAAGTAGCCCAAGAGTCTGTGGTGGGTGTTGCTGACTATCTACCTTCTTTATAGTCTGTCAGTTCAAACTTGAGTACAACTAATGCAGATATATTTTTGGTAGCTTTGCATGAATATCCAAAAACAAATAATAGTGCTCCTACTCATTAACTGCACCTCACCTTGAATGCCATTCCCATTGTCTTTACCAAGGCTTCAGTTCCGAGTTGCCACAACACTTTTTTACTACATTTTTTCAAACATGCTATACTTCTGCATTGCTCCTCATTCCCAAGGTTGCATTCTGATAGATCCCTCATTTGTTTTCGTCCCCTCAGTATATTCTCCTGTGTTAAAATTAATGCAATCGCTAATAATCTTCCTCCAACTGTTGCAAATGAGCTCTATGTCGACTACTTCCACATCTCGTGTCAGTCATTAAACATGAGGTTTATTGAGTGGCAGCTTCAGACTGCCCTCAATCGGTTATTGACATGGACCACTGCAAAAGGTTTTACCATTTACCCATTTTTATCTGCAATTTTTTACAGAACAGGCGATTCCAAGTCCGTGTGGGTTCCACTCTTTCCTGTTCCTTCCCACAGGAACTTGGAGTCCCTCAGGGCTGTGTCTTGAGTGTCACACTTTTTAGTGTTAAAATTAATGCCATCACTACAAATCTTTCTCCGACTGTTGCAAATGGGTTCTATGTCGACGACTTCCACATCTCGTGCCTGTTGTCGAACATGAGGTTTATTGAGCGGCAGCTTCAGACTGCCCTCATTCGGTTGTTGACATGGACCACTGCAAATAGTTTTAAATTTTCTTTTTCCAAAACCGTTTGCATGCATTTTTGCCACCAACGGTGTCTCCATTCTGATCCCGAGCTCCATCTCAGCGATATAGTTATTCGTGTGGTCCCTGAGACAAAGTTCTTGGGGCTTATCTTTGACCGTAAGCTCAGCTTCATTCCACACATCAAGCAGCTTCATGTCAAGTGTGCAAGAGCTCTGAACATCCTTCATGTCCTTTCTTCCAGCTCTTGGGGAGTGGATTGATGTTCTATGCTCAGGATCTATCGTGCCCTGATTCGATCCAAACTGGACTATGGGTCTATGTTTCTGCTAGGATCTTGGCCCTGAAGATGCTGGACCCCATTCACCATCTGGGGCTTCGGCTCTGCACCGGTACTTTTTGCACTTCTCCAGTCCAGAGTTTGTACACTGAGTCCCATGATTGTCTTTCTTCCTCGGTGGGCAATGCTCTTTCAGAACAGACGGTCTGCTATTCCTCCATTTGGCCTTCGTATTTGGGCACTACTGACTGAATTGGGTCTGGCATTGGATAACATTGCTGTCCCCAATGATCAGCCCATTCCACCATGGCTTATTACCATCCCTTCCTGTGACTTGAGTCATCCGAGGAAGGTGGATACTCCCGATTGGAAGTATCATCATCTTTTTGCTGAACATCTTTCGAGCCATTCTTCTCTTCCTATTTACACGGATGGTTCGAAATCGGGTGACTGTAGGTTCTGCCATGGTGTGCTGTGGCTCGGTAGTTGCTCACAGTTTCTGTGTTCACTGCTGAGTTGTATGCTATTTCTCTTACCCTGGATTATGTAGAAGCTATGCAGT